AGGGTTAAGGACATTTAGCTCCTCTAATGCCTCATCATAGTCAATTTTATTGTAACACTTAACTATCTTCCAAAACTGAATTTTCATTTCATCCCCCCTAAACTTTTTATGCCAGAGAGCAAAGATGTGCCTAGCACAATGACTGTGCTCAGCCTTAGGCAACACAGTTGCAACAGCATGTAATATGGCCTTCACAAACAAATCAGCCTAACACAATAACACATAATTTAACCAATGGGGATAACCAAAAATGTAAACATAACAAATAAATTATAGGTAAATTATAAACAAAACAGCATAAACATGTATACATAACTAACAGGTTAAGCCTAAGTGTCACGGTCCGGGAGTTTGGACCCCGAAACGTGCGGCGCGCTCTAGCCTTTTGGCGGCAAGAACGCTAGCCTTGAGCGGAAGAGGGGCTTGTGAGCACAAAGCAACACAAGCGGGCAATAGAATCTCAGGAGCACTCACGTCTATCTGGGCGACGGAGTGCAGGTGGTCGGGGCTTGTGACGGCCGATACTTCAAAGCGGGCACAAGCGGGTCCGAACCACGAGTCCTTAGCGCATCAAGTTGGGTTGGAGGGGAGCTAATATGCAAGTAAGACACAATATCTATAAAGGTCTAACAACAAACAAGCATAAAAGCAAGGCAACACCTGGTAGAAGGCTTTAAGATTTCATTAATCATTCGCCCTCTAAAGAGCTTTAAATGACATATAAGGAGAATCCCTAGTGAACACTGATCTGACAGTAACACAATAATGGGACCTTAAGCTAAGAAAACATAACCTAAACTCTAGGAAAGCACTTAAATGGAATCTAATACATCAAAAGGAGTTGGATTCTAACACTAAGGAAGATAAGTACCTGGTGCTCATCTGATATTATAGCAACACCCAAGCCATCTCTCAGATCTAGGCATCTTTGCAAGTGTGTGAAGAACCACACCCATGAGTCATTATTTTCACCTTCAGCTGCTGCCCATGCAATGGGAAACATCTGCTCATTAGCATCTCTTCCTACTGCACTTAATATCTGTCCACCAAGAAATGTCTTTAAAAAAGCAGCATCCACACATATTACTCTTCTGCAGCCTTGCTTCCATCCTTCCATCAGCCCCTCATAGCAAGTAAACAGTCTCTTGAACACTGGAGGCTTTCCTTCCTCACCAGCAGTAGCCACCAGCTCAACAACTGTTCCTGGACTCTTTTCTTTGATTGCATGTATATATCTCTCCACTTTCATGTAGTGGTCTTTCATAGACCCATGAAGTAGTTTGTGAGCATTGTACTTAACTCTGTATGCAAATGCCCTCTGCACCAAGACTTTGTAAGCCCTCCTTATGGCCTCAATGATTTCCTTAGCTGGCCAGTGTGGCCTAGATTTAAATACCCCAACTAGCTGAGCAGCTACCCAAGAAGACTTCAACTGTCTATTGCTTTTCATATTTCTATGACAGGTATAGTTTCCAATCACCCTTTTCACCAAAAATGTTGCACTCCTAGAATGCCAAGCACAATACAAGTAAAATGGGCAGCCTTGAACACACTTCACTCCAAACTGTTGTCTGCTCTTGTTGCTATGTGTAAAGCTCAAATTTTTGCCCTACATAACAGCATATCTAGCAACAGCCTGCTTAAAATCATCCCTCTTAGCAAATCTTTGTCCAACTTTCCAAGTAAATTGACTGAAATCAGCATTTAGATTCACAAGCACTCCCCTCTTCTTCTTAGGCTCAACCTCATTTTCATTTTCACTACCAGTAGGAGTGTGAGGTTCTTCTTCGCTATCCTCATACTCACTGTCATTCCTTGCTTCTGAAGCACCAGCCACACCTTGATCTCCTGAGGTAATTATGTGCTGCTGCTCACCAAGCCTTCCCTCACTTGCTTCCTTCTGCAATTCCTCAACAACTTCTAGGATCTTGTTGTTGCAACTGTTTACCCTTTCCCTAGCTGTTCTCACCTCCTCATCATCATCTTCTGACTCACCAACAATGTACTCAGTTACCTCCAATTGTTCCTCACCATCTTCTTCAAACTCTAAGTCTAGATCTGCTTCATCAATATCATCATCCTCACCCTCTGCTATACCTAAATCCTCCTTATCATCATAGTCTGGGTCATCACTGTCAGCACTAGAATAGCCTACCAAATCATTTCATTTCAAAGGACTCTCTGGCCTATCATCTTCCCAATCATAATGAAGCTCAGTGTATGGATCTAGATCCTTAACAGTTGGTTGAAAAATGATGTTGTTGTTTGGGTCAAAGATGTGTCCAACAGAAGAAGGCTCAGAGTTATCATTGACAGAGGTTGTAGCTTTTGTAGAAGTGGTTGGTTGAGTATAAAAGGAAGTGGCTGGTTTAGGGCAACAAGAGAGAGTAGCATCTATTATGGATAACTGGGAATCTATCTTTTTCCCTTTCCCAGTACTTTTTTTATTAGGGGTTGTAGTGGAATCAGAAAAGCACACATGTTTTCTTGGACTTCTTCTAGGTACAATAACAAGTTGTATGGGTGGTCCCCTTTTTGGTGTTATTTTTTTTCTTGTCAATGGCTTAGGACTCTCTTTATTCTTGCTGACTTCACTCTCAACTACTTGCTGCTGACTAACAGTCTCCCCACTCTCATTTTTCTCCTCCAAAGACTCACTAGAGTCATCACTCTCTTCAGGGTAATTATTTGTATGCTTAACATACAATTCCAAAGACCTATTATGGAAAAGAAGCTGGCCCATCTCAATAACTTCAGCATCACCACCAATCCTTCTTATCCCATCTACTAAGTACATACCAGGAACTAGATAGAACAACCCATCAATAGCATTATATTGCCCACATTTCTTAGCCATCTCAATCAAGTCAAAGTAACACAATTCATCTGGATCAACATCAAAACTCTTGCCTTCCCCACCCATATACACAAGTTCCCCATTTCGAATTGTTTTGAATGTTCCCCCATGCCAAAACCTTAGGGTAACATTTTCACCCTAAATCATTATAATGTAATTAATTAGCCTCAACATACAAAACATCATCACAATTACCCTAAGTAATCATCAATTTACCATAACAATACACATATAAGCCCTAAAGACAACATTTTTATCCACAAAAAACAACAGCAAATTAACAAATTAACCATAATTCAACTACAATTGTTCAATTAAATTAGGGTTAAAAATTCGTACCATTGTTCAAATTGTCTGGAAGCCAACAAATAGCCGCTCTTCCCCTTCGCTGAAACCTCAGATTCGTTCTCTTTGGGGGTAGGTGTTTATCATTAATGGCGGAGTACAGAGCAACGTCTTTTTTTTTTTCCTAAGCTTCAGTAATGGTGCGAGGTGAAAGAAAGAAGAAGGGAGTAAATGGGGTAGTTGGAAAGTACTTGCCACGTCACCATTTTTAGGAGGGAAATTTCAGTCAGCCTTTAATTAGATACAAGTTGACTTGATAAAAACCGGTTACCTGTAAACTAACATGTTAAAAATAGAAGGGGTATAAAGGTTGTAATATTCAGGTATAAATGAAAGGTTGTATTATTTAAAATAAACCGAGCAAAGGTTGTATTATTTATGGCAATTTTTCCTTTTTAATATTAGATAATATATACAATGTAAAATAGGTACCTCTTCTCCAGTGCCGGGGCTACAATTGCAAATTATTTATGGGGCCCTGTTCAACTTCTCAAAATGGGCCCCTCTACTCAATAAATTAAATACCCAATTTTTTTGTTAAAAAAATTCATTACATTAGAAAATTTGTCAAAATTAAACAATAAGTTTTATTAGTTAAATGTGAAATTAATTTTGGAAGATATAGAGGTTTTTTGGGAATTAAAATAATAAATTGAAAAAATTTTGAGAGAAAAAATTATTTGGAAAAAGGAAAGATCTAATTTTGGGTTTGGGTGGAGAATTCTAGAGACAAAGTAATAACTTCATTCAATGTTTGGACGTTCAAAGCTCAACCTTACTCAATGCCAGCTTTCAAAATAAGAAGTTAAAAAATTGTTAGACCCAAGGCTTGAACCTGAGATCTCTCATACATAAGAAGCAAATTAACTCAAACCACTAGTCCATCTATAATTTTATGTTATTATTCCAAACTTAATTACATTATATATAAATTTTGGGGCCCCTCAAATTTGGGGGCCCTGCTCCGTCGCCCACCTTGCTCCGGCTCAAAACCGCCTATGCTCTTCTCTCAAAATTGTAACCTAACTTATCAAAAAAGAAGAAAATAAGACATTTTAATATCTAACTTTATCAAATAGAAGAAAATAAGACATTTTAATGTCTAACAAAGTTCTATATATTTCAAAAGTTGGCATTGAATAGCCCAAGGAAGCTAGATAATCTTCTGTCTTATTTCAAAGAAAAAAGAATTTCATTAATAAAAGATAGTGATGTCTTATATGTTGACACTTATATGTCGCAAAAGATTTTAGAATCGTCTTTATATCATTTATAATGAGAACACCCTACAAGATACTCCGTATTAATAATAACAAGATTGTCACCTTTAATTTATTTAAAAAAAAAATTGTCACCTTTAATTAAAAAAAAAAAAAGATATGACTATATGTAATGTTACGCTGCTTAGTTTGGAAGGCCATTGCAAAGAGTGTTAATAAAATTATAAAAAGTGCATGCTAATAAAATATACATTAAAACGACTCAAATAAGATCCCACATGAATATATTTTATCAATCTATTAACCACAAAAGCGAGTTAAAGCTTGTTGTGTAAATAGTGTAAAAGTCAAACGATGTCAAGTAAAAAAACGGAGAAAGTATATCATCTAGCCATTAAAAAAAATACCGAGTATCCATCCAAGAAAACACCCCAAAACAAAAACAGACAATATACAGGTCTGTTCTCTTACGTTGAAATTCAGTTCAGTTTAGTTCAGTTCAACTCAGTTCAGTTCAGCTCCTAGTTTCCTTCTCTTATAAAATATTCATTTCAGTTCAGTCAATGAGAACAAACCCAACTACTACGTATATGAATTGCTAAAAAAAACCTTTTAATTTAAACTAACCGTGCAAAATAAAAAAATACATGAAAGTGGACCCCAGTTGACACCGTCTTTTTCAGTCCCACTGTAACTAACAAACACTCATCTCATTTCTCTCTCCTCTTCCCTTTCAATCCAACCTACTCACTCACTCATCTTCTTCAAATGCTACTGTTTTCGCTTCAATTTCAATCCCAATCTCAATTTCTAGGGTTTTGTTTATGATTCTCTATCAATCAATCAATCAATCTATTACGATGCTTTCTCTCTCTTCAATTTCCTTAATCTTTCTCAATATTTCTGCAATTTTTTTCCAGTTTTGCAATGCTCGAGTTTTCACCTTTGAAATGCATCATAGATACTCAGAACAAGTAAAGATTTGGTCGCAGAAGAACTACAATCATCCTCGTTATCATCATAGTCCTCATTATTATCATCATCTTCATCATCATTGGCCTAAGAAAGGCTCCTTTGAGTATTATTCTGATTTAGCGCAGCGTGATCGCTTTCTTCGGGGTCGCAAGATGTCTCAACTTGATGAACCTGTTACTTTTTCTGATGGAAATTCTACTTTTCGAATTAGTTCTTTGGGATTGTAAGTTTATCTTCTTAATTTTTTTTATTTTTTTTTATTTTTTTTTATTTTTTTTTTTTGCTCAATTTGATGTCGTTTACTGCTGAAATTGTTACTGTTTTTAGTATATCCGAAAATAGAATTAAATTTAGGGTTTATGATGATTGATTGTGATTTTGGGAGAGTTCTTTGTCTACTTAGGTACTGATTGATCGATTGCTGAGATGTTTTGGTGTAAATTAGGGTTTTGATGATGATTATTTTGGTATATTTCATTTATTTGTTGGTTATGTACTTGCTATGGAGTAACACATTCTGCCGTTAATATAAAAGCAGAATAAGGTTTGATTATTAAACAAACTTTGCTTATTAGTGAAAATTAATCATTCATTTGTTATATGATTGCTGATAAGTTCTGCTTGTTTTATCAAGTCAAATTTGTACTCTTAAATGAAATGAGTTATTGTTGTGATGGTGATTAGTTGGTAATGTTTGGCAGTTTGCACTATACAACGGTGACGTTGGGGACACCGGGAGTGAAGTTTTTGGTGGCGTTGGATACAGGGAGTGATCTGTTTTGGGTGCCTTGTGATTGTTCAAGATGTGCTCCACTTGAGGGTGCAAGTTATGCTTATGATCCTGTAAGCTTATGTTACTTCATTACTCTTAGTATCTCCAATTAGTTCTCGTTAGGGTGTTTTTTGATGTGCCCTTGGATGTTGGTATATAAATGAAGGTTGAAATTTAATATTTGGCTTATGAGGTTAAAAAGGGGTAGGTGGAAAGGCAAAGTAAATCGAGTTGTGTTATTGGAAGAAAAACTTTCAACAGATGCATTTAAGGACTTGCTTGCAATTTTGATAAAATCTTGAGCGGCCTTAAGACTAATAAGCAGATTCATGTTGGAGTGCTAGTTTTTGCTTATTCACAATGGGTTGCTTCTGCTGGATTGTTTTTTAACCACATGGTAATTAATGAATTGTTTTTGTTAACTTGAATAAATTATAAAATCTGGAAAAAAAATTTGATTCATTAATGGAGACATATCTAGTTTGTTTTATTGTAAATATTAACAACCAGTACTCTTTGCATCACTTCAAAATGGTAGGTTTAACTAGAACTTGAACCAAAAGAATTGTCATAGAATCATGAAGCATATATTTGGGTCTGTAGGAAATTTTTTGAATGCAACAACCATTTTAAACAGTTTGACATGCGGTAGACTTGTGAACTTGAACTTGTAAGCCTCAGTTCTTATGCTTTGTTATCCTATTCTGAAAGTTTTGATATCTTCTTCTTATTCTTCTTCTACTTGAACGCCTTAATCCCATAAGTGGGATCGGTTACATGAACCAACATGAGGACTTCCCAGGAGGTCACCCATCTCATATACTTCTATTCAAATTCTATGCGGTTTACACAAGGAAGTAATTAGCCATCTATAAAGCTTAAGAATTCACATTAGTTCTTTCTTCTTTCGATACTTCCAAGCATTATGTTGGGTTTTCTTCTAGGGCGTGATTATTTCTGAATCTATTAATAGAATTTAACCCTTCTGTTACTTCATTTAAAGCTCTTAAATGCCATGATAGGCTGCATAGGTGTTGATGTAAGGCAGATTGCGTTGAACTTAAACAATAACTGGTTCATCAATTTTAATGAAGTGTCTAGTTTCAACAGTATTTGCAAGTTCTATGTTGCTCTTCCATTCTGTACTGTCCACATATGTGATTATTCCTTTTTTTTTTTTATTTGTGGGAACACAGGATTTTGAGCTTAGCATATACAACCCTAAAGCGTCATCCACTAGCACGAAAGTCTCATGCAATGATACCTTGTGTCTACACCATAACAACTGCTTGGGATCATTCAGTCATTGCCCTTACGTAATCTCCTATGTCTCTGCTGAGACATCGACCTCTGGAATATTAGTGGAGGATGTTATGCACTTGACAACAGAAGAACACCATCCGGAATCGGTTGAGGCTTACATCACATTTGGGTGAGTTCCAATTAATTGAATATTTACTCTTGTATCAGTGCATGTATGTGAAAGCTAGACTAATTACATCTGTAGCTTAATTAAAAATCCTCCTTTACTGGTAGTATACATGCTCATTTGGCACTTGTAGTGACAATTCCCAGATTGTTGCCTGCACTTTGCAAATGTGTCTGAATTTAATATGGAAGTGAATTGGTATACTAATAAATTGTTAATTTTGTTGTCAACTGAAATTCTTGAGTTCAATTTGTTAAGCTTCAAAATCGAGCTTGTGCAGGCCTTAATGAGTAGCAACTTGATGGAACTCTTCAATGCTATGATAGTGTCTGCAATTTTTTCGTTCTGGATGCTTAAAACTAATATAGGATTTTTGCAGTTGTGGACAAGTTCAGACCGGTTCATTTCTTGATGTAGCAGCTCCCAATGGTTTATTTGGACTGGGTATGGAGAACATATCAGTGCCCAGCATACTGTCCAGGAAAGGTTTTATCGCAAATTCTTTCTCCATGTGTTTTGGTCGTGATGGAGTTGGAAGAATAAGCTTTGGTGACAAAGGTAGCCCTGACCAGAAGGAAACTCCATTTAATGTAAATCCCTTACAGTAAGTGGTAATTTTCCATATACTTGAAGCTGTTTTTTTGTCTGTCAATTTTTACCTGTGAATGATTCCTTAAGTCACATTGATTGAAACTCCTTACCTGTATGTCATCTGAAAATTTTCTTTTCCTTTGGTGCAGCCCTAGCTACAACATAACTCTAACTCAAATTCAAGTAGGAACAGCCCTCAATGACGTGGAATTCACTGCTCTTTTTGACTCTGGGACATCTTTTACATATCTTGTCGATCCCTTTTATACAAACCTGGCTAGAAATGTAAGGATTAATGTGATTAATATATACGTCACACTGCCATGTTATCCTATCTAATTATGTTGTTTTCTTTCCTCCCCTGATGGAGCAGTTTGATTTACAAATTAAAGATAAGAGGCGTCCTGCTGATTCCAGACTCCCTTTTGAGTATTGTTATGATATGAGGTTAGATTCTAGGACCTTCAGGTTATTTTAAACTTCCCTAACATATCTCAGATTCTGAAATTCTATTATTTCCTACACAATCGGCAGACCAGATGCAAATACAAGCTTGGTACCCACTGTGAGTTTTTCTATGGAAGGGGGTGGCCAATATAGGATTTATGATCCCATCATTGTCATTTCAACCCAGGTGGGAAGCTAACATCCACTTATAAGCCATGCTATTGTACGAAGTATAAACTCAGCCTTTGTCTAATCTGCTGCTACTAAGTGCATTTTTCATGCTTTTGAATGCAGATTGAACTTGTGTATTGTCTTGCTGTTGTCAAGAGTAAAGAGCTCAGTATTATTGGACGTAAGTCATTTAAATTCAATATTTGAGTGAAATTGATAATTAGATTTTGATCCCGATACTCTTGGTCTGGGCTTTGCTTAACTATTTTAGTAAGATCTTAGTGCTGGCTATTGGAACAGATTATGTTCACACCCTATAACTGCAGTTTTGATGTATAAGCTATTTTTTTCTTATTCTCTCGGTATTTATGCAGAAAACTTCATGACTGGCTATCACATAGTATTTGACAGAGAAAAATTAAGCTTGGGCTGGGAGAAATCTGATTGTAAGTCTAAATTTAGTTGTATGGTATACACTAGCTGGCCACAATACTGAACCATTGGCATTTTTGTGCAGGTTATGACATTGAGGACTTTAAACCTTCTGTAGGAGGTAAAGAGACTAATGACACCCGCGTCCCTCCTGCAGTTGCTGCACAACCGGATAATATAACTCAAGGTGCTACAGGGAGCACATATCATAGTTCAGCACCATCACCCACTTGCCTCTGGCATTTTTGTGAAGTATTTATTTCTTTGATTACCCTATTTTTTATGACTTGTTTCAGTAGCACTTGAGAAGTACCACATGATTTTTTTTCTATGCTCTGTTCTCTTGTTATTCTTTAAGGTCTCTACTGTTAGAAGATGAGACTTGTAAAGTGTAATTTTTTAGCGTTGTATTACCAAGAGAAACAGGCTAGGCCATTATATTAGTAGTATATTATTGTTTTATAGATTTGTAGTTATAGAGTATAAACAATTTATAAAATTCGTAAAAAAATTGTTTTAGTATCTGCCAGCTTGCCAAAAGTAAATTCTCGAGAGGTAGCTCAATTGGTTAGAGTTTTCACCGGATTAAATCTATCCCCTGCCTTTATGCTGTGAAATTTTGAATAATGCTTTTATTAGTACGAGAGTAATATAAAGGTCAATTGTTTGAGATTTTCTCACCCTTTCTTTGAGGATTATTTCTAAAGGCACTTGGACTGTGGGAGTGTGAGATTTTTGTTTGATGTGTATGAAAGTTCACACGATAACACACTGTAAGATAAAGGTGTTGGCTGATCCTCATGTCTAAACATTAACAATTGCTTAACTAGTACTCCGTAAAGTGCTGTGTTGCTAGCTTTGGGGTTGTTAAAAAAGTGTTGTAGAATCAACATACCTAATTTTTTTGATGGGGGTTTGTAAGGTCAAATTTATAAAGGGTGTTTTGGTTTGCACTAGGTAAACGAAATAGAATGAACAAAGAGAATAAAAAAGGACAAAGTTTCGGCGAGGAGTGGGGAAAGTGAGGCGAATTCAGGCGAGGGGTGGGGAAGGTGCTTTGAGTTCCAGCGAGGTGGTTGGGTGGTGGGGGTAACTAGTTTCTGGTGTGGGTATGGTGGTGTAGTGGTGGCTTAGGAAAAGGAATGGAAAAGTCTAGGGAGGGGGGGAATCGATGTAGACTGATTTTAGGTAAACTAAAAAAATAAAAATGGATAAAGGAAATAAAAAAAAAAAATTGACAAACAAATAGCAACAACGGGAATGAGGCATGTTTATTACCTTTCCCAAATGGCCCCTAAATGTTTTTGCTTTCTCTTACTCTCCGTCACAGAGCTTTTTTTAAAAAAAAATAAATAAAGCGTTTCTATTCTCCTCCCTCCTCTCTAAAGTTTCTTCTACACTTTTCCTCTTCTACTATATGGCTATCTCGACTCTCAAGTTCTTAACATCACCTTACCACACCACCCCACCTAACCGCTAGAACCAACATCAACTATATCTAGACCTGTTAATTCTAGAATTGACCTAACCTAAACCCTATCCAAATGACTGATAATTGACTCGAGTCGACCCTTTTATCATAACTTGTAATGATCCAAACAATCCAAACCACTTTAACCAAATGACCCATACAACCCAAAATGTGACTCGAACTTAACTTATTGACCTCAATTGACAGGTCTAACTATATCGTTCGATAAACCTCCCCCCTGGTTACCAGCAAAGAAATCATTGAAGTACCACAAAACCCACCCACATTTATACCAAAGTGACAAATTTTTTAGTTGCAATAAAACTTTATTCAAGGTGCAATCCATTGCACATATTAAAAATGTTACATATGTACATAGTTTGGCTGTCATACTTAAAAATATTTACTCTGTAATACAAGTATTGTTTGTGCATCAGAGGTTAAGTCAGCTCAGTTCCGCATTCTATCACTTGAGAGTAAAGGGGAAAGGTAAATGAATCCCCTTATTCCCAAGCATTTTGTAGTTAGTGAGATTCGATCTTGTAACCATAGAATCACGAGATGAGTTTAAGCTTATTCCCAAATTTGGTTTTTGATTTTATTTGTGTGTGTCATTAGTACTACTAGTAAAGAATAACTAAGGGCCTATTATGATTTATTGAAAACAAATGAATTGAATTAAATTGAAAGGTTTATAAGAGAAGAAAATTAAAAACATAAATTGAAATTAAGCTTAATATAGAAGAAACCTTAAATACTCTATACTCATTAGAAGATATTTTACCGAAACAATAATGCTCCGTAATAAATTAAATTAAGAAAAATTAAAAACCCAAAACCCTAGAATCGCACATCCTAGCCAAAAACCCAGGTTACAAAATAGCAGTCACAACAACAAAGAACCCCTCTTCCTCTTGCCGGACCATCAATTATCTTCCTAATTCAATTTTAGAGCAAATGACGAACAAGGGCAAGCAAAACCCTACTGCTTCAAATTCAGATTTCTTGGTATGTATATCTCTTCATCTTATTTTTCTACAATTCATCGCCTGAGTTTATAAAAACTATATCTTAAATTTTAATATAATGTTTGTATATGATAATTTAATTTTTCGAATTTATAGCCACTTGAAGGTGGTCCGGCTCGTAAGCTACCCAAAGGTGGAGAAGATTTAGATAGCAAAGCTACTGTTCTTTATGTTGGCAGAATTCCTCATGGATTTTACGAGGATCAAATGGAAGGTTTGCCTTTTTTAAATAATTTTTTAATTAATTTTTAGGGCTTCTGTTGGTTGCTTTGTGATTCATTTTGATGAATTTTGCTGATTTTTCGTATTTTTGATAGGGTTTTTTCAACAATTTGGGTCTATTAAGAGGTTGAAGATTTCTCGAAGCAGGAAGGTTTGATTTTTTGTTTTTTGAATTACATATTGGAATTTAATTGTTTATAATTTGTCAAAACAAGGCGGCTAGATGTTTTTGCTGAGGTTTATCTTGCTTGTAAATGCTTGTGTGCTACTTGATTTTAAATTTTCTTCATTTTATGAGCTTTAATGATTATAAGAAGTAATATCAAAACATACATTGTGAATTTTGATAGCCGGAGTGATCGCTTTTGGAACTAATTTGTAAGAGACCAGCTCGAAAGGCTTACTAAGTGATTTGTATGAGGAGATGCTGATCTTGATAATGCTTGTCCTGTTTTTCTAATGTTTATTTTTTGTATTTGAATGTTTTACAGACCGGAAAATCTAAGCATCACGGTTTCATCGAGTTTGAGTACCCAGAGGTTGTTTAATTTTACTGGCTTGAATTGTTGTCTGGAGTTTGTTACTGTTTTAATAATCTTGGTGATCGGTGTTACAGGTTGCCAAAATTGTTTCAGAATGTATGCATAATTACCTACTGTTTGAGCACATGTTGCAAGTAAAACTGATTGCTCCAGAGCAAGTACATCCTAAACTGTAAGCCTTTCTTGTTCGAGCTGTATACTATTGGGAATGAATTTTATTTTGGTCGTGTGAAATGACTTGAAACTTTTTGGTTTTGTGGAGTTTCTTGAAATAATGAGGCAATCCGCAATTGTGTGAAATTAGGAATTTGATAGGTTGATAGGACCATAATGTTTCTTATTTGATCTAAATATTATGAATATTTATTTAAGAAATTGTCAGTCCAAGTGTCTATATGTGAAATTAACTGCTGTGGCTTGTACTTTTGTGTCTCTTTGTATAATTCTTTGACTTGTTACCTTGTTTAGATAAAAGGTAGTCACTAGTCAGATCATTGTTGTAATCGGAAAATGTGAATTCATTTTTCTACCAAAAGTAACAAGGGTTAGTTTCATAAATATGGTATTTGATGGAAGCATGGTTGTGGGGTTTGTGGAGGCTTGGAAGACAGATGGCTAGGTGGATGGTGTGTTTAGGATAAGTAGAGGGTGGTCGTAGTTGGCCTAGTTGGCCTTAGATGTGGTGATGGTTGGGAGAAGTTGAGATATATGTAGAGGTGCGTGGTGTACTTTGGATGTTCCTGTGATTGTCTTTAATCAGCGGTGGAAGTTGTTTTGGTCGTGATTAGCAGTTGTGATTAGAGTTATTGGTAGAAAGTTAATTGGTGGAGATGGGAGAGTGTTAGACTGTTAGTGTTGTGCTCTCTCATGTGAGGGTGTAAGGGCATAGATGGTGGTGTTATTAAATAATTGGATGTAGAACTGGATTCAAATATGGATTGATTTGGTTATGATTATAAACTGAACCGAAAAATCGATCATCACTCAAATATTATTTGATCCGAATCGAATCTGCCTAGATTGATTTTGATATGAATGTCCTATTTTCTAGTATTGGGTGTGCCATTATTGCATCTTATTTTATATTATTTTTGGTATAAACAAGAATAAATTAACACCTCTACAGAGAACACAACCTGAAGAATATTTTTTTACAATGAAAGTACTAAACATGAAAAAGGGATCAAAAGACATATCTTCCATTCCACCTATTCTCATATCTCAATAGCCTAATATTCAAATCTTAATATTATTCACTCCCTATCCTATCAATTGGGTCCTTATTTTGTACTTATGCATCACTTGCTGATGTTAGTGCCCTAAATATTTATTTCTATGTAGTATCATTAATGCTAATATTTTTTGTAAACTTAATAAGTCTTAAGTAATTTATGCAAAGTGAAAAAGTAGGGAAAGAACAAAATGTGTGTTTGGATGAGTGTGAAACCTAACTCAAGATTAAAATTAGAGCGAAAATCTTTTCTAA